TGATACACAGAGTACAAGGGAATAGTCAATATCATCAGTTCACACTGCTTACGTGGTATTGAAACAAATAATTCAACCAGCTGTCCTCATAGATGTTTCGTATTAAAACAACGTCCAATATTACTGAAACACAGTAACTGCTTTGTTTGTGCGGATGGTACAAAACCAGAGATTATTATTGCAACACCGCCTGTAAGACACCGGGCCAGTTCAAGGGCGCAAAAAGAAACTAAATGCAAATAATGTCCACACACTTCCACCGCCCAACAGGAAAAAAAGGAAAATACTGAAAAAGCGAAGGGAGAGGAAGATGGAAGGTAGAAAGAACACGGAAAGCAGAGACAATACTCACCAGCCTGAAAAACACAGCACCAGAAGGAAGGCACTATGGTGTTACTCGGAATCTGAAGAATTTATTCAGGAAGAGAGTAAGAGTAAAAGAAAGAGACATTGACACCCACTGGGCTGCAGTGTTACTCAGATGTTACAGTGTAGCCACTGGGCGAGCTGACATTTCCACCCTTGGCTGTAGCATTGCTTGGGCTGGCCAGGGGGGGACCAGCTTTGGGAGATAGTGTCTCGGAGCTCAGCTCGGCTCGCCAGAGCATTCCCCCTGCTCTCTCTCAACTCTCTATCCCGTAAAATACACCCCATCCCTCCCTCCCCGGAGTTCTTGGCCGTGCTTCGGCCTTAGCCTGGTTCAGTAGGCGGTTCTCACTCCCCGCCACACACCGAGATGGCACAGTCCAATCCCAGCTGATCCCAAAGACGTCCCCGCATCAGTTTCATTTCCCTGAGTGAGTCGGTACTGTGACAAATATCACAGAGATGGTGCATATCTTTCCTTACGTCTCGGAGGTCTATTTACAGCAGATCACCTTCAATGACACTATTCCTAGATAAACACTTGTATGTTTATAATACCTGTAGTATTTAAATAATTTAGTCTCCATCTAATCACTTTACAACTTTTGTTTTGCGCCTTAGTTTTACCCTGTCCAACCTCTGCTCCTTCTTTCACGCTGTTCGTCTGTCATCTCGCACAATTCTGATGATAGGTTGTGTCTGATAAATGTACGCCCTTTTCTCTCCCATTACGCATGTGATCTGACTAGGATTTTAAATTCACTGCCGGATGGAGTGCGAGACACAGCTTCAATTCTCGCCTTCCAAAATAAATTGAAGAGACACTTGGAGGAGGAAGAAAAAATTGCAGGCATGTGGTGAAAGGGCAGGGATGGTTGGGATCGGTCAACAAAAGAACTAACAGATTATTCGGCAGAATAGTTTCCGTCTGCGCTGTACTTTTTTATTTATTCGTTTACAGGGTGTGACCATTGCTGACATTTGTTGCTCACACCGATTACCCATGAGAGGCTGTCTTCTTGAGCCACTGCTGAAGATCGTGGGGCTCAGGGACGCCCACTGTGCTGTAAGGGAGGGAGTTCCAGCATTTTAAATCCACACTCAGTGAAGAATGATTGCATTATAGTCTGGATGGTGTGAGGATGTGATGTAAGGAGTATGATTTTTGTATTTAATTATTTTAGAGTTTGAATTTTGAACTAGTGGTATGTGAGTTTTCTTCTATGTGCACAAGAAGGTTTTATAATTAACTTGTCAGTCTTTCTGAAGCCATGATTTTTAAACCAGTATGTCTCAGAGAGCAGCTGACTGGGGAGTCATCCTGGAGTGATCATGTGAATATGTTTGCACTGTGAGTGTCTTTTAATTGGAGAGAGCAAACACTGTAAGGCATTAGGTATAAGAGATAACACAGTGTGGAGCTGGAGGAACACTGCAGGCCAGGCAGCATCAGAGGAGCAGGAAAGTTGACATTTCGGGACCCTTCTTCAGAAAAAAATGAAGAACGGTCCCGACCTGAAACATCAACTTTCCTGCTCCTCTGATGCTGCCTGGCCTGCAGGGCTTCCTCCAGCTCCACACTGTGTTATCTCTGAAAGCTAGGACTATGGTTGCACATTGTGGCGTTTTCATGTATCTACTGCTCTTGCCCACTAGATGGCAGTAATCACAGGTTTGGAAGATGCTGCCAAAAGCTGCAATGCATTTTGTAAATGGTACGTTCTGCAGCCACTGTGGGTTAAGGGATTAGATGTTTGTGGATGTGGTGCCAAACAAGTCAGCTGTCTTGCCCTGGATGGTGTCAAGCTCCTTCAGTGTTGATGGAGCTGCACCTATCCAGGCAAGTGGGGAGTATTCCATCACACTCCTGCCTTGTGCCTTGTAGGTGACAAACAGATGTTTGAGAGACAGAAAGGAAGTTACTGGCTACCGAGTGCCTAGTTTCCGACCTGTTCTTGTAGTCGTAGTATTTTTATGGGTGTCCAGTTCAGTTTCTCATTCATGGTGACCCTCAGGATGTTGACAGATCTTCATTGATTCCGTGAGAAAAATGTTTTTCGATAAAATAAGAACTAACTTTCTACCCCTTGCATATTTCTGATACGTGGATGATATGCTTGCTATATTTGTAACAGCAACTGCATTGAAGAATTTCCTCACGTCTTAATGGACTCCATCCTGCGTTCAAATTCACGTTTGAAACAGAGGAATCAAATGAGCTCTTTCCTCGGTGTCCTAATTGAGGAGTCAGCCAGGTAGTTCTCTACTACTGTTTCTCACAAACTATCTTTACTGATCAATACACACGTTGAGATTTGTATAGTTCCACAGCTTTTTAGAATGGTCTCATAACCTTATACGTAGAGCTCAAGTGATACATTCGCCATACAAACTTGACACTAAAATCGGGTGCGCCAAATCCATTCTGTACAATAATGGCTACCTTGTTCAGATCATTTCTTGCTGTACATCACACTAATGAATGGAAGACTCTTGGCCTTTTTGGTCCTGGAAAGTGCCCAGTTTACCCCAGATTAGGGTAAGGTATCTCAAACATTTAAGCAACAGATGAGGTCAGCTATTTTACACACTGCTTCTATGCATTAGCAACACAAGTGATGTTCTCTGCTGACAGGATGCCACTATTAGGCCAAAATTTGTTCTCTGTGTCACACAAATGAGTGATGCAGTACATAAATTTCAGTGCCAGTGTGATGCCAGCCATTATGACGCAAAAAAACTGGAGGATTGTATCAAACAATCAAATTCCTTTGGCTAAAAAAGACCAAGGAACCATGGATACTGGAAGTCCGAAACAAAAACAGAAATTGCAGGAAAATCTCAGCAGATCTGGCATCATCTGTGGAGAGAGTAACAGAGCCAATGTTTTAGGTTTGAGGACCATTGACCCTTCTTTTCTGAAGAATGGACACTGGACCTGAAATGTTAACTCTGCTTCCTCTCTCCACAGATGCTGCCAGACCTGCTGAGTTTTCCCAGCAATTTCTGTATGTACATTCCTTTGGCTGTTCACAGCAGGCAAGGTACTGATCCATACTGAAGCAGCCTGCACTTGCAAAACAGTGTCCGTCATTAGATGTGATTCTGCAATTGGACAACATCTGCTCGATAATCCTGAGTATGTAAAGAATTATGCTGATATCTAATTTAGGATTGTCAATCTGTTTCTCAGTGAGGCGACTTTAGGTGTACTGGAAGCTATATATATTAAAACACAGTTCTTTGCATACAGGAAGAATATGTACACTGTGTCTGTTTCAACTGAAGAACATAAGTGACAGCCATTCGCTGGTTCATTTCTTAGAAAAGTGCCCTGACCAATCAGAACCAAACTGCCTGGCTGTTAACTGTCAATCATCTAATTGGTACATTCTCTATGGCAATGCCTCTACCAATCAGATTCTACTTGCCAACCAATCAACACTCTTCTGTCATGCAGCACAAATGTTGATGTTCTCCTCAAATTGGAATTCTTGCAAAAGGTCCTGATGAGTGCAAGAGGAAAATATTGGACAAAATGTATATTTTTCACAAATACTCAAGTGATGTTGATCGTGGTAGATTGAGAGATGATAATGTCATTGAATGTAAAGGGGCAATGGTGAGATAGTCATTATCTGGCACTGGTGTGGCACAAATGTTATTAGCCACTTGTCAATCTAAGTCTGGATGTTGTTCAGGTCTTGCTGTGTATGTCCATAGACTGCTTCGATCATCCCATAATTGACTGATCATTTTCTGTTTGTGTTTCAGTATCCAGCACCTTTAGCTTCTTTTTTTTTGACTCTTTCATATTGTGTCCTATATGCTCCAAGTTGTTTTCTGACCACATTTATTCCAAGAAAAACACCAAAAATTAACAATACATTTCCACTACCTTCCTGGCTTCAGACTAAATATCGCTTTAGAACCTTTATAACCTCTAGAATGAACAGCTCCAATATGGGCCTGGATTTTAAAGTCTCAATGACAATGAGATTGTCATGATCCTACTGAAACTGACAACAGATTCTGGAGTTTGAACACATGCTCAGTTAATTGCAGTAATCCATAAGTTAGTGTTACTGTGGATAGTCTATAGTACTATTGCCAGAACGTTGTCAGGACCCATTGCATTTGCAATATCCAGTAGTGTTACTGAAAGTGAGCTGTTCTAGTGTTCCTTGTCTGTGATCAATTAGAAATCACTGAACTGATGACAACTTGTCATTTTATGCTGTTACTCTCACTGTAAAAGCAATTGGAATAATTATACAATATTGACTGAGATGTAACTGAGTTTACAAGACTGGGACTGCTCCCACAGGGACACTGAAACATCCATGGCCTACCAAATAAGTATCACTCTTCATTCCACTGCTACTCTCCCATTAATCCCATGGTCATTCCCAGTCATTGCACACCATTTCCAACTACTAGCTGCAGAAACACCCAACTCCCCCCAGAACCACCATCCTGGACCTCTGAGTACCCAGGTCTCAGAGGATGCAATGGCAAGGCTGCTCCTGTACCTTTCCCAACCCAGATTCTGACACCTTTAGGGTAACTGTACATCTGGAAAGTATGGATACTCAACCTAGTGAGCACCTCGCAGTGACAGCTCTGCAGCTCACCAGGAAGGAAGGGCCCAGATCACGGGCATGAGGAGGAGCATCAGAGACCAGGCACCAGCTCAGTCCCAGGCAGGAGAGGACCTTGTGGGGACCCCAGTCAGGGGCTTCATCTACATGCACACAGAGGAACAGTAGCAGCAAATAGCCATCTGGGACACAATTGCCTTCATTGCCCAGAAGCTGCAGCAACGCAGCGAATCCTGCAACAGTCAGACTGCCTCCATGGACAGGCTGGTGGCTGCCATGGAGATCCAAGCCCAGTTCCCTCAGGGGTTTCTGGAGAGGAGCACACACTGGCACCTGCATTGCCCCAGCCACTGGTCCTCAGGACCGAAGGCTGTCAACAGGGCATGGACAACCTTGACCCGGTCCAGGTGGCCTCTCCTCACAAAGAGACAGGGCAGTGCCAGGTAGCACCAAACCAGAGGTGGAACCTTATGCCAGCCCCTCTACACTTTCCAGTCAGTGATAATTGCCCAGGTTGAACTAGTCCTGCTTTTCATGAACAGGTCACTCCTTGGAAATTTTCCACATTGTCAGGTAGACGGTAATGTTGTGGCTGTACTGGGACAGCTTGGAAGAAGGGTCCCGACCTGAAACATCAGCTTTCCTGCTCCTCTGATGCTGCCTGGCCTGCTGTGTTCCTCCAGCTCCACACTGTGTTATCTCTGACTCCAGCATCTGCAGTTCTTACTATCTCTTGGCTAGGGGCGGGGCCAGTTCTGAAGCACAGGTCCACAGTACTATTGCCAGAACATTGTCAGGACCCATTGCATTTGCAAAATCCAGTGACTTCATCGGTGTCATGACATGACTTGGAGTGAATCAAATTGGTTTGAATGTGGCATTGGATGGGTAAAATTGAAGTGCATGGAATTGGGAATAGTGTATTGAGATGGTCAGTACTAGGACCCACAGCTATTCACAATAAAAATGATTTAATGAGGGAACACAATGTAACATTTTGAAATTTGCACATGACACAAAGTGGTGGAAGGATGAGCTGTGAGGAGGATGTAAAGATGTTGCAGGAAAGTTGACGTTTTGGGTCGAGACCCTTCTTCAGAAATTTCTGAAATAGGGTCCTGACCTGAAATGTCAGCTTTCCTGCTCCTCTGATGCTGCCCGGCCTGCAGTGTTCCTCCAGCTCCACACTGTGTTATCTCTGACTCCAGCATCTGCAGTTCTTACTATCTCTCTGTAAAGATGTTGCAGTGTGATTTGGACAGGCTGAGTGAGTAGGCAAATGATTGGCTGATGCAGTATAATGTGGATACATGAGATTATCAACTTTGGTAACAAAAATAGGAAGGCAGATTATTATTTGAATGGCTGTAAATTGAGAGAGGGGAATGTTCAATGAAGACCAGGGTCTCCTGGTGCACCAGTCAGTCAGTAACAGTAAACATGCAGGTATAGCAGGCAGAGAAGAAATCAAAATGGTATGTTGGCCTTCATAGCAAGAGGATTCCAGTACAGGAATAAAGATGTCTTCTATAGTTATACAGGGCATTGATGAGACAACATCTGGAATATTTTGATCTCCTTATCTAAGGAAAGATGTTTGTGCTACCAATGGAAAGGTTTACCAAATTGATTCCTGGGATGGCAGGACTAACAATGAGGAGCGACTGTGTCAGTTAGGATTGTATTCACTGGAGTTTAGAAGAATGGTGGGGGAGGAGTCTCATAGAAACCTATAAAATTCTAACAAGACTAGACAGGATGAAGAGAGGAAAGACATTCCTGACGATGGGGAAGCTGAGAACCAGTAGTCACAGTCTAAGGATATGTTGTAGGCCCAATTAGGACTGAAATGAGGGGAAATGTTTTCACCCAGAGAGTGGTGAGTCTGTGGAATTCTTTGCCACAGAAAGCGATTGAATCTAAAATTGCAGTTCCTACTATCTCTGATACAATTTTAACCCCCCTGCGAAGCCTCTTCTAAGGATGCCTACCCTGAAGAAGTTACCCTCCTCCCTCCAGACAAACCTCAGGGGATCTCTCTCCCACTGCAACTCTCTCGTACCTGTCTGTTTCCTCTCCACCTATCTTCTCCTCTATCCATCTTCTATCCGCCTCCCCCACCCTCCCCTTTTTTTTTAGTACCCCCCTCCCCCCCCCCCCCCCCCCCCATTTCTGATGAAGGGTCTAGGCCCGAAACGTCAAAAAAGCCTTCCTGCTCCTATGATGCTGCTTGGCCTGCTGTGTTCATCCAGCTCTACACCTTGTTATCTCTGAATCTAAAACATTGATTGTTTTTAAGAATGAGTTGGATGCAGTTCTTAGGGCTAAAGGGATCAAAGACTATGGGAAGAAAGCAGGAACAGGGTAATGAGTTAGATGATCAGCCATAATCAGATTAAATGGTGGACTGGACTCAAGTGGCTGACTGGCCTAATCCTACTCTAATTTTCCATGTTGTTATGAGCAGGGCAGCTCGAGCAGTTGAACAGATGCGCCCTGGTCTTCAATGAAAAGAGGCCTCAGAGGGAGAAAGATCTGACAAAGGATTTCCTCAACCAAATGTAAACCACAGGCTTGTTGCATGTTTAACCCTAATTTCCCTTCAAATTTGCAATGACCAGAACCCCTGCTTTATGATCTTGGAGCCATCTGTGTTACATATCAGTAAAACAGATAGTGAGTTCCTGACAAACAATTCAGATCTAAAAGTGCTCATCTTTCTCACATTATGATGGAGAGAAAATCTCAAACAAAATCCAATGATTTCACAGCCACTCCAGAAGAAAGCTGCTGCTGAGAGGCAAGACACAAAGCTGTAGCTGTGGAGAACCAGGGGAAAACTGTTTGTGTTAAAGAACAAGCAAAATTGTAACGAGATGTGCCTTTAAGAGGGATTTGTTCTGTCTCCTGTTTCTATTGAAAACGAGCGTTGTAAACCTAGTCATGAGCTGTCTGGTCAATGGAAAGCAGAGCAAATAGCTTTGGGTTTCTTTATATAAAAAAGTAGTCAAACCTTTCAAGCATTGACAGATTTGGTTAAGGAATATTATGATCCCAAACCTCCTCCTAATTCTGAGATGCTATCAGTTTTATTTGTCTGTTTGAAAACAAGGGGACCTGTGTTGGGATTTTTGATGAGGTTATGATGAGTGACAGCAGCACGTGATTTTGGGTTAACCCTGAATGAGATGCTGAGAGACTGTTTGGTATGTAGGATTAGTGATGTAACCATTCAAAAGCACCTATTGGCTGAAGCCCAACTGGAGTTCAAATAGACACCACAACTGGCTTTGTCATTGGAAAATGCAGTAAGTGGATCATGGGAGCTCCAGGGCATCCCAATGGAAGTGGACACCCTTACCTGACTGGGCTTAGGGACTTGAGTGTAGGCAATCACACAGCCTCACTCTGGGCACATCCTGAGCAGGGGGACCCTAAATCAGCCCATGGAAAAACCCCAAAACAAAGCCAAGCTTTGGCCAAAGTGTTCTTCAGGCTCCAGGCTGGCAAACCATTGTAGTTGTTGCCAGTATGCAGACTCGAGACAGCAAATGGGTCCTATTAGGTCTGACTTGAGTAGGAGAACTCATAAACCAGTATCCAGGAGAGTTTTCACCCTGGAAAGTCCACCGACATGTGATTTGGAACAGTTAAATTGCATAGTAACAATCAAATCAGAACCAAACAAAATAAATGTCTGGTTAAATGGTCACCCGGTTCTCATGGAGATCAATACTGGCGCAGCACTATCAGTGGTCGCAGAACCAGTCTTTAACAAGATTCACTCTGGACTCCAACCCTTATGTTTGCACAAGACCTCAGCCAGACTGTGAACGTACACCGGGGAACCGTTATAGATTAAGGTTTCGGCCTCCGAAAGCAGTTGGTGCAGTTAGTAGTAAGTGGCTCTGGCCCAAGCCTATTGGCATGTAATTGGTTGAGAAAGGTTCACCTTGATTGGCTCAACATTTTTTGATTAGAAAATGGCTGCCTGTCAAATCCTAATTAAATACCTAGAGGTTTCTCAGCAAGGCCTAGGGATTATCAAAGAGCCAAGACCAACTTGCTGGTTGACCAGGAAGCAATTCTGCCATTCTGCAAGGCCTGCCCAGTGCCATTTACCTTAGGGGCAAAAATAGAAATCAGGAGGCTAGAAAGCAAAGGAAACATCAAATCAGTGCAGTTTTGCAGAATGGGCAGCACCGGTCATACCGATTGTGAAGCCTGACAGCTTGGCTTGTCTTTGTGGGGATTTTAAGCTAATGGTAAACCACTTCTCACAGCCAGATAAATACCTGGTACGTCGTAGAGAGGACTTGTACACATAAATGGGGGGCGCTGTCCTCTATGAAGCTGGACATGAGCCATGCCTACATACAATTGCAACAAGATGAGGGGGTTCCAGAAATATGCCACAATTAATACCCATAAAGGTTTGTACCAATGTACAAGACTGCTATTTGGGGTATCATCAGCCTGTGCCCTTTTCCAGCGGACCATGGAGAACATTTTACAAAAGCTACCCCAGGTTGCCATTTATCTGGATGATGTTCTAATAACCGGGATGACCAATAAAGAGCACTTGGACATAGTACTTAAACATTTCTCCCAGGCGAATGTACACCTTAGAAGGGAAAAATACGTGTTCCAGGCACCCCAAGTGACCGACTTGGGCTACAGGGTTGATTAGACTGGGTTACACCCATTGGAAGACAACGTGAGGGTTAGCCAAGGTGCTCCCTTTCCACATTTGTACCAGAGCTTAAGTCTTTCCTTGAGCTGGTGAATTATTATGGAAATTTCGTACATAACCTGGCCTCCATCTTGCTACCCTTACACCTGCTATTGAAAAAGGGTCAGCCTTAGATATGGTCACGTAGCCAAGAAGTAACCTTTGGAAAAGCTGCTATGGTCATCTAAGGTGTTGGTCCACTACGATCTGAAGTGAGAAGTAGTGCTGACATGCGATGCCTCCCAATACGGTATCGGGGGTAGTGCTGGCTCAGCAGTGGCCCAATGGAAAGGAACACCCAATAGTATATGCTTCCCAGAATTTGGCTGATGCCGAACACAAATCCACTGAGATAGAGGAAGGAAAGTTTGACAGTCATCTTTGAGAGAAAGTTCCAGCAATATCTTTACGGATGTAAATTTGTCATGGGAATGGACCACACACCCCTGCTCGGGCTACTTAAAGAAGACAAGGCTGTGCTGCCCATAGTTTCTGGTCGAATTCAGTAGTGGGCCCTTATTCTCAGTGTGTAAAATTACAAGCTGGAAAACCATCCAGGAGGCCAAGTAGCAAATGCAGATGCCTTCAGTTGCCTTCCACTAACAGA